ACTTGCACTCCGTCCTTGCGAGGTTCCCCATATATTGAATAAACCTCCAGGTCTATGTGTCTGTGAATTTTGTCCAGATTCAAAATAATTTGTGAAATCGAGATTGGGTGGTGATGATCGTTCAACGTTAGGTGAAGTGCCTACTGTTGCACCTTCTGAACCTTCTTCTCGAGTATTTTCNATATTTTCTACTTGTCCTCCAAGGGTAAATCCATATTGAACATTTGGNGGAGTNATTTCTGATGAGNCTNCTTGTTGAAAATTTGATGCATGCCTCCCTGGATGAAAGTTTGATTGTGAACCCCCATATTGAAAGTTTGGGGAAAGACCCCAGTGTGGAGCAGTTGATGGTGAGATCTATTGTTGTGCATTTGGTGGTGTGTTCCATTGATGTACATTTGGTGGTGTTCCCCACTGTTTTGCATTTTGGGGTGTTCCCCAGTTTTGTGCATTTAGTGGCGTTCCCCACTGTTGTGCATTCGGTGGCGTTCCCCACTGTTGTGCATTCGGTGGCGTTCCCCACTGTTGTGCATTTTGGGGTGTTCCCCAGTTTTGTGCATTTGGTGGTGTTCCCCACTGTTGTGCATTCGGTGGCGTTCCCCACTGTTGTGCATTTGGGGGTGTTCTCCAGTTTTGTGCATTTGGTGGTGTTCCACGCTGTTGTGCATTTGGTGGCGTTCCCCCTGTTGTGCATTAGGTGGCGTTCCCCATTTTTGCGCATTTGGTGGCGTTCCCCACTGTTTTGCATTTGGTGGTGTTCCCCACTGTTGAAAATTAGGACCCCATACGCCAGATGAATTGTTACCCACCGAAGACGGACTACCAGATGATACACCTCCTAAATGTTGACTCCCAAGAGACTGGTTAGAGCCCAATTGTTTTGGCACATCTTGGTTGTTTCGTGAAATGTCTGTCATAGCTTCTAGCAGTTGTAACTTATCCTCATCAGTGCTCCNAGCAATATCAATGAAATATTTTCTCCAAAACACTAGTTCTTTAAGTGTGTTAATGCATGCCCAATAGAATCTACTGTACTTTGGAAGCTCCAACGCAAGAAATATCGTTTCTGCCTTTTTAAACTCATCGTAATCATCTTGGTCAAAAGCACCTGGGCAAAGTTGTTGCAAACTTTNTCGTTGANACTCTCTATAGCCTGTGATGGTGTCTTGTATGGTTGTTTCAAACGATTGTCTTCTTCGAGTTCCTCTCGATCCACTTCCAGTACTGGTCCCCGAGCTCCTTTCAGATNTGTGCGTACTAACCCCACGTCTCCCNCTGCAGCTTGAATTACTCATACGCCTACCACGTTGTTCACCTCTTCCAACAGAATTTTGAGTGGGCTCATAGGTGAATTCATTGGACGGGTGTGTATCATCATCAAGGTTAACACGGTACACTTCTTCATTTTGATGTGTATCATCATTCCTATTTTTGAGGCATGTCATCACCATCACATCTGAGAAACCATGAAGGCCATCATCTGCCCGTCTCTCAGTTAATATCTCTTCCCTTCTTTGTCGTGATGATTGTTGAGGTTGCGAATAAACATCGTGTAACACAAGACAGCATTGCATCAAATCCCAATTTTTTGGCGTTTGTCTATTAAACGATCTTGTAACTTTGCATCCCTAAA